ACCCTACTTGTTATTTCCAAGTATAGGAATCATTAAAAGCAAAGCTTATCCTAAATAAGCTGCAGATAACACTGTTTCATCATAGGACATGGGTATAAGATTATCTCCACAGTGCTCCCATTGAATCATCCACAATTCAGTTGTCTCTTTGAACCTAGATCATTGGGATCTTCAGTCAACTAGGTTGGGTTGCTACTATGGCGATTCTTAGGACTTAGGCTTTTAACCCATTCCCCTCGATGATACAACTTACTCTCTTGTCAAACCTTTAAAAATTGGTACCACTAGGTTGACTACTCATTATATGGCCATCACAAACTTTATATCCATACATGGAAATTATTTCTTTGAGAGTCGTTGTTTCCAACGTAATTTCTCCAAACATGTATTTTGAACTTGATAAGTAATTTGCTAACACTTGGGTAAAATCCCCCACATTTAAGGTATTTGCTAGAAGATCTCCAACCTTTCAATACCTTAAAACTTCAATTATAAGAGATAATCGTTATCTCTTTCTAGACGCAAATAACTTTTACATTCTTTTTATGTATATCCTACTTCCCAAAAATAGCTAAGCCACCCCGACAATTCCCTCACATTGTGGTTGCTATTTAATGCTATCAATTTCTCATTTTTCATGAAATAGGAACCTATGAAGATATATATATATATATATATATATATATATATATATATATGTTCACTTGGTTTATTTTCATTTATCAGGCCTACAAACCCTCACTAGAACTTTCCTAGGAGAAACATTGCTAGCACTTTTTGTTTTTAGCCTTTAAACTTTCAAACTTCTCATGCTAGAACCAATTATGTCTAATGTGCCTTCCAATGAGAAAACATGTCTTGAGTTGTTATCACTCGCATTGCAATTTCATTGGACTTAGTATGATTCATAGCGGATCTTCTAAAGCATGCCATATATATATCACTGCATAATCTGCATCTATTCCTTTAACCGGCACAACTCTTATGATAAAAGAGTCGACCCTTTTCATTTGAAAGTGCATATTAATTTCGGTTCTCTTATTCAACCGCAATACATCAGCTGCATAGTTGAACAGGTAGCCATTTCCTTAATGGCAACTGACATGCCTCGAGAGAAACTGCCATGATCTGCGTCTCACCCACTTGGCTTCAAAGTATGGGACATACACAAAGGTAGGAAATTGAACAAAGACATGTCTAGTGAAATATCTCTTCACCATATGTTTCTCCATGAATGAGAATATGCTCCATTCATGTTTTTCAAGAAACTTTCCAAGAGACTCATCTTCCCATTTGAAAGATTGTGTTCGCTCACACATATAGGAACACAAGTATGCATGCCACAAAAAATGCATTTTTATTTCTGTAGTCCAAGACGCACCACCATTTACATCTTTGCTTTTACGGTAAAGAAAATATCAGCAATTGCTATAATATGGCTTTTCGCATATACAACAAAGCCAACTAATCGATACCACTCAAACGACATCATCGATCTTTTCTATTTTTCCAAAGTTTTTGGAAAGAGGGAATCCCTTTCCTTCACATATTTGTTCGAATTAAAACAGTTTGGACTTGACAAAAAGATGCAATTTCCAGCCATGTAGACAAATACATTATGCAAAGATGCATATATACATCATAAGGGTTCACAGGTCAAAACAGTTCTACAAAGAAATGTAAGTCATATGTTTAAATAAATTACGTGTCAAAACTAACATTGCAAAATGACATTTTAGAGAACAAACGTACATACAATATTCATTACCTTTCATGAGTCTAAGACACAAGCATCGTTCCACTTTCCAAAGTGTACTCACAGGGACTAAAAGCAAATGAAGAAAATATACACAAATATATATTCCTATAATCCAATGTGAAAATTAAGCAACTATAGAACACTCTAATGACCTACCTACGCACGCATGTATCTAAATCGTGAGACAGATATTCAATTGATTTTCAAGACCAAAAGTATAGCAATCAAACCTATCTTGTCTTAAGATTGTTGGAAAAATAGGATCTAATTGCTATATTAAATCACATGAAAAATCAAGAAATAATTCATGCAATTATATATATCACAATAATGCATGGAGTAACTAATGTTAACTGAACATGATATAACGGATTAGAAAAACCTAGAAAATACGATTGAGGTAAGTGTTGGACACTTTATTCTTAAGACAAGTTTACGCCCTACTACGATGCTCATGGTTGATCGGCGCATGTCTCCCAAGATACAACGACCACGTCATTGTAATAGTAGCACTCCAAATCACAAGGCTCTATAAATCACGATTGTGTTGAAAACTCTCTCATGTGGACTCAATGTGACTCTCTAATATTTAGAACACTCTATATATGATTATGTAAAACAATGAAAAATTCTTTTGGTGATTATAAGGGGATTCCCTATTAGAATATGAGAAGCCTCTTTGAAAAACATGTGACTAGTCATGAAAATTTAAAAGTTGCAACACTTCATTTAAGTAGACATATCTTTCTACCAAAAGACTTCACTTCTGATTTTCATTCAATTAATAAATTTAATATAACAATATTATTATTAAATTTTCCAACAACAAGGACATGAAGTGGAGCTATGGTCAAAGTTGGCCCGGTCATCAATCTAGACTGTATATTACTTTACAAGTTTTTAGCTGGACCCCTACCTATTTTTGCCCATTCTGGACATTCAAATTATTTGACTGGGGAGTGGGTGAGGTGAATTGTTTTCTACGTACTTTCTAGAGCCCCGTGGGGGTTCCCGTGGCTATCATTTTAATGCCAGTTTACTTCCAAGACCGATATAACGGCCGTTTCCTTCAAGACTGCCAAACTCTTTGTTGACCTTCAAATATTTTTGTGTGGATCACATGCTATGCAAAGTACAATGGTTAAAATATTGTGGTATATTGGTTTGCCAAGTAGTCCACTTGCTTCAAGATTGTATTTCTAGAAATTCTACAGAAAGATACATGGACAATAGAAAGAGTTGGAACATTATTTACGTGTCAAATATATTTTTTTGAATTTTATTTTGGTCAATACTTGTTATAGGCGTGTGCGGTCTGGTTTGCCTTACCACTAATCGATTTGGTTCAATGAATTAGTTTTGTTTGTGTTTGTTCCCGAATTTACACTATTCGGTCTAATTAATTATGGACTTTAATCTAGAAGTTTAATTAGCCGAATACGAGAATGTAGGACTTAAGTTAAATTGAACTATGTTTTGGACCAAAATGAGTCAATGACATCGTAGCCACTGCATCATTGATCTTAGAAATCAAGTCAAGCCTTAAGGCTTTAAATTAAAAGGAAAACTAACAAAAAGTATAAAAAAAACTTTAGTTTTAATGAAAAATGACAAATAAATTTGCAGTGAATGGTATTAGAAAAAAAGTAAAATATAGTTTTTCGTTAAAAATGAACAATACTGAGAGTGTTTCGTTAAAACTCTCTACATTAAATGTTTGTCAAAGCGCGTGATCCAGAAACGAAGAATGCCATAATAACCTATAGAAGATCTCCGCCTGGAAAATATAAAATTGGCAAGAACCAAGGTCCGAAGAGTAAATTGATGTCCAATCCAAGGCAATCAAAGTTCATGATTCAAAGTAGAAGGTCCACGATCTTTTAAAAGAGGTCCGGAGGAGATAAGCACATGGAGAAATTCACTAAGGCAAGGATCAAGGCGAATCGATCCGAACATGGATGAACATTACAAAATAAGTTGATTTCGCATACATCATATCTCAAGATTAGAGTGGCTGCGGAAGAAAGTTTTTCAAATGAGCAAGACTCAGAGGCCAGACAAATGATCGATCATGGGCTAATGTTGCCCTATAAATACAAGATTAGAATAAGTGAAGAGGATCCCTGATCAAACACAACTAGTCTTTTACATTCTCTTCAATTCCTAATCCTAGGTTTAGTGTGATGTAGTTCATAGTCTAGTTTTTACTTTTTCGTTTTAGTTTATTTTTAATTGCACTAGTCTAATCTATTTTTTTGACACACTCGGTGAGACAATCTATATGAACAACTAATATGGATCAAAATATCCACATCAGCTGATAGATTTGCAAATCCCACATTTTGCAAATCCCACTTTGAAAATGTGCAAAAATTTCTTCTGTGTTTTTAATAAATTATTTCTGTGTGAAGCTGTGATTTATAAAAATGAAAAATGACTTATTCCTAAAAACTTAGAAAAGAGTAGTAACCTGATTGTAGTTTACACTAATGTTTGCTTTCATTCATGTATTTAAACATATACATACATATACATATATATATATATATATATATATATGTATAGTGGTGTGTTATTCACATACTCATTTTTACTTCTCACACATCTTTTTAATTTTGGACCATCGGATCGGATGGATTGAAGAATATCAAAGAAAAAATTTAACAATAGGTGTGTGAGAAGTTAAAAGAGGTGTGTGGATAACACAACCCTATATATAATGTGTTAAGATTCAGAGACACGTTTTTAACATATAGTTTGACACACATTTTTTGAAGTTCACTTCATAATGTAGTTGAACAATCTAACCATCTATATTTTATATCTTATCTCAAATATCACGTCTCACAAATCACACAAATCCGAAACCATGAATAAAGCACTTCGACCAAAGGTGTCGTTTCTTTATTAGGACTTGAGACCTGACAACAAGCACGACATGTCGTTGATATTTGACCAAACTTAACTGCTCAAAGGAAAGCCTATCTTCTCCGGAAAAAGAAACTCCTCCTCGATAACTGCGCTCCAATCCGTACGGGCGATGCTGAATTAGGTGCGACTGAACTGAAAATGGAAGCCCTTCCATCCGCCCAAATCCAGCGCTTGATCGTCACCGAGAACCCAATCAACACCGCCCGCTACAAGCACTCCCGAAATGCTAAACCCACCACGAAGGTGTTCGACAAAATGCCCCACTCAGACACCTTCGCATGGAACAGACTTATCCAGACCCATATCGCCAATGCCTGACTTCCACCACGCCCTCGCCACTTACCACCAAATGCTCGTCCGCGGCGTTCGCCCCGACAGACACACTCTCCCTCGCGTCTTGTCTGCCTCTCGCCTTTCGGCTGATCTCTCCCTCGGCAAGCAACTCCATGCCCACGCTCACAAGCTCGGCTGCTCGAGTGACCGGTACGTGGTTGCTGCTCTCATTGAATTGTACGGTCGTCTCGACAGCGCGGACTCCGCGAAAGGGCTGTTTGACAAGTCCCTGGTTAAGGACTCTGTTTCATGGACAATGCTGACCAGACTGTACATTGCGGAAGGTAAACCCGGCAAGGCGGTTCATGTGTTTGAGAGAATGGTGGAGTCCGGAGCACAGATAGATTCTGTGGCTGTGGCGACGGCGGCTGGTGCCTGTGGCATGTTGAGATCGTTGATTGACGGAATAAAAGTCCACAGGGTTGCCAAGGAACGTGGATTGGAGTATGATGTGTTGGTGAGCAATACCCTCTTGAAAATGTACATGGACTCTGGCTGTGTCGACGAAGCTTGGGCAGTTTTCAATCAAATGCCGGAGAAAGATGTCATTTCTTGGACAGAAATGATTCATGCCAATGTGAAGAGGGGAGGCTTCAATGACGGGTCTCAAGCTGTTTAGGCAGATGATTGGAGACGGGGTGAAACCTGATCCGCTCTCGGTCTCTAGTGTTCTCCCAGCATGCGCAAGAATGTCTGCAGGTAAACATGGCAAAGAGACCCATGGATTCTTGCTGCGACATGGTATTCGAATGAATCTCACCGTTCTCAATGCTCTTATGGACATGTATGTCAAGTCGGGATTTATTGAATCAGCTGCAAAAGTTTTTGCCAGGTTGAAGTACAGAGATCTTGTTTCGTGGACTGTGATGATAACAGGGTACAGCTTACACGGACAAGGAAAGATCGGAGTAGATTTGTTCTGCCAAATGGAAAAGGAAACGAGTATACAGATCGATGAAATCACCTATGCCGCTGTCCTTCATGCTTGCGTTGCAGCACGCATGGTTGAGGAAGGGAAGTTTTACTTCAACTGCATCAAGACACCTACGGTTGCACATTGTGCTTTGTTCGTAACTCTTCTATCGCGTTCTGGGCTGTTTGATGAGGCGAAGAACTTTATTGCCGATAAAAAGATCGAAGGAGATCCCGAGGTACTGAGAGGACTGCTAGACGGCTGTAGGATTCACCGGCAACTGAAATTGGGAAGGCGGGTTATCGAGCAGCTCTGTGATTGGGAACCTCTTAATGCCGACAACTATGTGTTGCTTGCCAACTGGTATGCTGAAAATGCAAAACGAGACATGGTCGATGAGGTTCGAAGAATGATGACAGACTTGGGTTTGAAACCTAATAGAGCTTATACTTGGACAGAAATCAGAAACAAAATTCATGTGTTCGGGACGGGGGACGTATCGCACCCAAGATCACAGGGAATATACTGGGAGTTGCAGGTGTTTGATGCAGAAAATGGAAGACGGAGGAGATCGACCTGATTCGGATTTTAGTTTCCATGATGTGGATGAAGAGCGCGAGTGCGTTCCGACTGGCCACAGTGAAATGCTGGCTATTTCTTTCGGACTCATCAGTACACAATCCGGGACAACGATACGTGTAACTAAGAACCTACGGGTGTGTCGCAGGTGCCATGATTCTGCAAAAATTATATCCCGGATGGTAGGACGAGAAATCATACTCAAGGACCCAAATTGTTTCCACCATTTTAAGGATGGTTATTGTACATGTGATGATTTTTGGTGATTAACTTATCTTTATGTTGCTGTTATATCATCTGGAACAACATCTAATACAGAGTGGATCAACATCTACCTCCAACAAAATAACGATCAGCACAAGAGTATCGCTAATCCGTACTTAAACAAGTGTTCTAATAAGAAGTAAAAAAGGAAGTTTCGGAAACATACTTGCAGGAATCAAGCCATGTAGGCTCTATCTCAAAATTTTGCGAGTATAACAACCACATACTGCATGTATGCTCATGTTTCCCCTCTGGTAGACCGCCTGCGGGGGGGAGGAGCTTCAGCTTCTTCTTTCTCAATCTCATCTTCCTTCTCGCCGCTGCTTCCTTCATCATGGGATGTCTCTGCAGCCGCAGCCCTGTTTGGTTCTGGAACAGTGACCTGAAAAGCACAGGGCAAAAGAGTTTACAAGTGCACTAGCTTATGAGATCAAAAGTCATTACCACTACAGAAAAGTGAATATATGCTAGATGTATACCGCCGGTTTCTTGCTACCAAACAGGATTTTAAAGAAAATTGACAAGAGAACAACCACGACGGAAACGATAACACCAATTGTAATATTGGGCTGTTTTTCTCCCTTCTCAATCAATTCCTGCATGAGCAATGCAAAAACAAATGATTATCATCTTCTATGATTCAATTAAGCATCACTTTTGAAAAAAAGTTGTTATGATGCTGCAATGGCAAGCCAAGCACTTACAATGATCCTGGGTTTGTATGCATCCAAGAAAGAAACATCTGCTATCTTGTAAAGAAGGTCGAATACTTTCTTCTGCAAGTATTTGTTCTTAACCCTGATTAGCTTATGATATACCAAAAATCAATCGATACAAAGGAAACTCAAATATAAAATGAAAAAAAAAAGAAAAAAATTAGATTACCTGGTAGCTTGAGAGTCCATCAGAAAGACCTGCAGCTTCTTCCTCAGCCTTCTGTTTCTCTTTCTCAGTTTCAAACTTCGGCTTCCACGTTGTTAGCCTAACAGATTCAGCAACCTTCTCATTATCAGCTATGAGAATATTGTCAAACAATATTCCGTCCTGCATTGTCCATATCTCAATGCCAATAGCAGCAATGGGCTCAAAGTTGGGCTTCTCGGTCTCGAAGTAATCAGGGTTTGGAATTTCCCGAGGCTTCCAGATGCCCTTGTAACTGGGGTTGTCAATCATAGGAGGGCTCCATTTTCCTTTATAAGCAGGATTATGTTTCATTGGCTTCTTCCATTCTCCACAACCAGGTGCCAAAGAACACTTGGGGTTATCCGTCTTTGTTGGTTCCCATACACCATCCTCTTCGTCGTCCCAATCTTCTGGCCTTGTCGCCTCAGGGTCATCAATCTCTTCAGGCTCATCATCCAACCACCCTTCAGGTTTCACAGCATCCTCGTCCTCAATTTCCATTGGTGCATCCTCGTCCCAATCATCAGGCTTAACGGCATTGGGGTCCGGAATCTTCGCCCGCTCATCCCAATCCTCTGGCTTCTTATCCTCTGGGTCAGGAATTGTCTTGGCTGGAATCAATGCAGGCTCAAAATCTTTATTTGACAGGAAATTCGCCTTCTTCTTCTCCTCCCCATCTATCAAAATCCTAACTTCGTTATCAGGTTTCAGTACGGCAGTGTAAACATGAGACAGCTTATCGGAGGGCACGGATGGAGGGTCCTTGAGATGGTGCTCAACATACTCTCCACTCTTGGGGTTCTTGTGCTTAAAAATGAAATGAACCTTGTTTGTGGAACCACATTTGTCCGGTCCAAACATAATAGAATACGGCGACTCATTGTCAAATTCCTCCGCTTTCCATCCAGCCTCCTGTGGCCGGAGGTACTTCAAGTAAGCACCGCCACATTCAAGCCCGTTCTGGAGCCGGACCTCAAACTGTAGGACAACAGTTCCATCAGCAAGGCTCACAGCCTTGTCCATCTTTTTCACCACTGCATACTTCCTCGCCTTCTCACTCATCAGAAGCCCGTAATCATCATGTCCCTCACTCTTGGACAGTTTCCATACCCCTAAACTCGACATTAATAAATAAAATTAAGCACTCAAAATTCACTGAAAAAAATAAATTTGACTACACTCGGAGAGTAAACGACTCAAATTGCACAGAAAAACAATTTAGGAAAACATAGATAACAGAAAACAGTTAATTACTGCGAATAGCTGATATTAAAACAATCAACAAAAAACCGGATACCTTGGTACTCATCTTTCGAAGAAACAATCCATCGGCCTTCAAACGACTCAGAAAACGGCTCGTAAAAGATCTGTAAATCATAAATTCTCTGTAAACAGTCATGAAAAATAAAGATTATTATGAATAAATAAGAAAATGGAAGGGAATGGTTACCGAATCGACTTCGTATTCTGAAGAAGCGTGGATCTGAGAAGCAGAGCAGCCAATCAGCAGCAGAAGAAGGAGGTCAGTGATTCGACGCCACCGTGTTCCTGCCATGAGGACCGTCGCGCCTTAACCCTAAGCGCGCCTTCGATTTTGCCTACACACTGGAACAGTTGATTTGAAAGCTTTCCTTCACTAGGAGAATAAATTTTATTTATTTATTTTATTGTTTGGCGGCCAGTTGAAAGGAAGAAATTTTAATAAAGTAGAAGGATATTATTGGACGATGCATGAGTTGTGAGAAATGTAGTTTAATTGTAATAAATATCATTGTTAGAACCGTTTAATTTTTTTCTTGTGGCTTATAAAACAGTTTTATAAAATATTAGGGAATGTATTTAATTGGCATTTTAAAAGATTTTAATTTTTTTAATGAACTTAGGAGTATTCAATTAATATTTTAAGTGATTCTTTGAAATTCAAAGTGTATTCAATTAGAATTTTAAGATAATTTATTAAAATCCTTAGAAATCCGGATATATTCAATTAGGATTTTAAAGAAGTTTATAACATTCCAGGTATATTCAATTAGAAATTGATTTTAAATAATTTGATAAAGTTGAGGAATTAGAGGGAATTGGAGAGATTTCGTAGTGTATTTTAAGCATATGCAAATCTCACATCTTCTCATGATTTAGAATACAAACGAGCTGATTATGAAATATCTATATATTTAAGTTACCTCAATCACTTAGATCTCATTTGGATGTACTTTAAAATAACTAAAAATGTTTTTGGTAAAAATATTTTTAGACCCAATCCTTAGTAAAAATGTAAGTAAATCCTAAAAAAAACATTTAAAGCAAGTAAATATTGCAAAAACACTTAAAATGCTTTCCAAAAGAAGCATATAATTGGTGCTTTTGGAATCCGAAAATATTTTCTCTAAAATTTTTTTCAATTATTTTAGAAGTATATTCAAACGATCACTTAGATGGACTAATGAAATACTTATGGACGAATTGGTTCAATAGTCAATTTTCGATTCCATCATTCTCTCGTACTATCAATATTGATTATAACGGTGTACATGCAGAAAAAAGAAGTGTACGGATTACTTCCTTAAGCATATGATGAGCAAGAATTCTTGTCTTTATGTGCGAGACTTTCTCTATGTCTGCGAGGTTTTCTCACCGATTGTGTGAGCTTTTCGATCCGGTGTCTCGTTCAGCCACCGGCCCTCGGCGTGGCCAGGGTCGCTGGCAGCTCTTTTTCTTTTTCTTTTGCCTCTCTTCTCTACTATGTACGCCTGGTTCTTTTCTCCCCAGTTTCGGCCTCCCTCCATCCTATAATTTTCCAGATCCATGACCGATTAATTTCAACGCGTTTCGCGGCTTTGTCGGAAGGTGCGTAGAGCTTCAACCCCTGCTAGGTGCTAGGGTGGTCACACCTATGTGTGATTTTTGAACTGTCGCCGGTGAGAAGTATCTTTTTTAGCGGTGCATTCGAGTCTACCTTTTAGTTTTGTGCTTTTATTGTAATTGAATATCAACCCGTGTATGTATTTTTTTGGTATTGAATTTTACCTTTGAGAAAGAAAATAAAGCATATGATTAGTAATTGAATTGTATTTGTTGGAGCAAATTAGGACATTTGCAATCATATGGTCTAGCAAATGAAAATTGTGAGATTTAGTTCATAATCTGCATTCAAAACTATGCAACATTTTTGCTCGTGCTTCTTCCCATCATCATCTTGCAAGGTGATGCCTTATCAATCCACGCTCTTCATCCAACTCAAAGTTGGCTCCTGAGAAACTAGCGCTTGTAAAGAAGGGTCGCAGATCAAGAATCTCATACTCCTGCGCCTGCAAAGAACAAATCAAATCCGAAAAGCTCGATTATCAAGTACCAATTTCGGTTAGGAAAGTCAAAAATTACAAGTTCCAATAGCAGGATTTCATGTCTGCATTACCATCCTCTGCAAATCTGCCACTTTTACATCAATGTGGGTGAGCCCTGCGGCTGATCCGGAAACAATTTCTTCAAAGCGGATTGCATCCCTCACGAGCTGACGGAGTAAATGAAGGACCGCACTGTTGTAATCCTTCTTATAAGTCATGTATTCTCTGAATTTCTGCATAATACAAAACAAATCCTTCAGTAATCACTACAAAAAACTTAAAAAAAATTGCCAAGTGATCCAGAAATTCTTCAGATAGGCACAAAGTACAAACAAGATCAGATCGTGCTTGGCAATGATTTAATTGTGAAAATGCATATATATAGCTATGGTATTTAAAAGTTAACGGCATAAACATTCAGCAAAGACCTACAGATGAATATCATGAGTCATTTGCAACTTGATTTTTGACCAGGAGTAATTGAAAACTT